AACATGTGTTCCATGAGTTTACTTGAAAATCTACATTGCAAGCATTTTTTTTCATGTGGATATTAGTCTCTGATGATGTTTTCACTGTCGCTAATAGATGCGAATTTTTTTAACTAGTCATCTGTATATATTTTATGCCCCACTTTTCTTCTGGCTCTTCTTCGGCTTCCTCACTGCTTTCCAAACTAGTTTTGTTAAAACTCGCATCATCAGTTAAAGTTGAAATAAAAGATTTTACATTGTTTTCCCGGCTGAAGTGCAGAATCGCCTACTCATATGGCACGTATCGATGTGTACATGGACAAGTCAAGGGAGTGCGCAATGCCAAGTTTGTGCAATTCTCCGATTTTTTTTTTAAAGTAAAAATAGGTTGATGTGTACATGGATATCGAGTTTGTTCAATTCTTTGATTTGTTATTTTCAAGTTGATGCAGAATTGCCCACTTATATGGCATTTTATCCATTGTGTACATGGACAAAGTCAAGGGAAAGTGCAATGCCAAGTTCGTACAATTCTCTAATTTTTTTTAAGTGAAAATAGGTCGATGCGTACATGGATAATGAGTTTGTGCAATTCTTTGACTCGTTATTGTCAAGTTGGCGATTTTGAGAAATGCGTGAAGCAGTGGGTGATTCTGCATTTTTCCCATTTTGCCTTCAGTCCACAAGTTGCCATCAATTTCTAAATGTTCTTGCATTTCAGCACTGCAATTAATTTTGAAAAGTTTAAAAAACTGATTTTCATTAGTAGTATTTTCACTCAGAGGCACCTGAAAGTGGAATTTCAAAGTCTGCTTTCTCAATCCAGTACTGGATACAACTTTGTGATACGGAATTAAAAGCCTTTGTTATCCAGTGGATGGCATTCAATACATTGACACATTTCACCAGCTGATCACTGTTTCCACATGCAGTCAAACAATGAATATGCCATCAAAATATTTTTCTGTACTGAAGCTTCTAATTATACCTTGGTTCAAAGGCTGTAGGTGAGAAAAACACTAATTTCATTGATTTCAGTTTTAAATTTAGTGGGTGAGCTGTCGAATTGTCACGAAATAGCAGAATTTTTAATCAAGAGCTATCAACTATTATGACATTATGCTCCATTTTATCCATGACTTTTTATTGTGATGCCAATGAAGCAATAAAACTTCTGGGTAGATGTGTTTGAAGCATCTTGTTTCCCCCTCCCCCCATTTTCAATGAGATGCATTCCGGTGACGTCGGAGGTCACGTGATGTTAAGAACTGCTGATGTAAGCAAACAAGCTTGTGCTTTGGTAGATGTGTTGAAAATTCGGAAACTTTGTTTATTTTAAATTAGTAATGAAATTTGCATTTCATCTTTAATTATTATGTTATCCATTAATTAACTGTTCATTCATTTGGTTAGTATAATTTTGGTAACTCTTATATGTTATTGTTAATCTTCATGGTATTCTTTTGTTTGCTGCTTTACCATGTTTTAATTGTTAATATTTATTTATGAATTCTTTCCTAGATCTGATAATTAATTCATTTATAAAAAATGTAAAAATGAATACATAAAATCGTGTTTACATAGATTGCTCTTCTACACTGAAAAGAAACTATAAATATTTTTAAGTCGTAATTTTATCAGTTTAACAAGCACAACAGTAAATGTAAATAGTTTGTTTCTGAAAATTATAATAGTCAAACTTCTGGAGCACTGTAAATGCAGTTGGTCCTTAATCATGTAAGAATAACGATGCCAATGTTCTGCACAGTTCAAAATTAATATGTAATTTTATACAACTTAAAATTTAATTTTTTGCAATTGACTATTATCCTATTGATAGTATAAACTGCAAATTAACACATTTTGTATACTATAATATAAATGTCAAAAAGAAAAGTATAAAGATTTGTGCAAAAGAGTTCACTGCAGTAGTAGCTGTGAAACTAATAATTTTTTATGATACATTTTTCTTCATTTTTAATAATAAATAAAAAAGTAGTATCTGTATACATTTTAGATATTCAAAAAATAAATTTGAAGTTATTTTTAATATTGCTAGTTTCATAATTTATGTGCAGAATTTATTTTAAAATCATATAGCTCAAAAAGATTTTCAACGGCATTTATTGAAAAGATCTACCATAGGAAATAGACTAGCGTAATTCTAATGCATATACGTATGGCACATGTTGTCTCAAATTATGGACTGACACAACCACTGGTTTTCAAGGACTAAATGTACATGCTAATTTAATACTTAAACTAAAAAACTCAGCAATCGCCCATGAAAATTTAGAATTAAGTACAAGTTCTTACAAAAGCATCTTTTGGAAAACGTTATTCAAAGTCTTGGGAATAGTTTTCAATTAACTGATATACACTTAATATTCTTAATAAATAAAAACATTACTGGTAAGCATCACGCATAAGAAAAATTTATAAATCTTACCTCTTTTCTTATCTCTCTAAATTTGCACAGATGTTTCATAATTAATTGATTTCTTCATTTCGGCCGTAACACAGCTTGTTATAAGTACTGTGATATCCGGCATAATTTTGAAATAAATATTGTTCACGTTTTTCCTTGAATAACAAAACAAAAGACCCTTCTTGTTGACATCAAGGAAAGAGAAATCGTTTCCAAGCGTATTTTTTAATTTCTCGCAATAATCATAAATTTCTAAATCGAAAATTCAATTAATTTCAGCGGAATATATGCTATTGACTCCATTGTAAACATAGCACATGCTCATGTTGTTACTAGAGCACATGACCACATTTTCCCTCTTCTCTTGCGGAATGTAACTCATTATAAATGGTGGCTCAAACTCTCATTCCATGTTACAACAAAACAGCACAGCGAGACGTTCTTTGGAGCTTTTGGTAAAATCCTAGTATACGGTGCAGCCTTGGCATGAAATTATCACCAACACCAAAAATGATCCAAAGAACGTCTATATACTATGTGTGTATATACATAATATATACTATATATATTCTTTGAATGACCCGTTTACTACTCATCATACATGTCCCGTTTTTACTGCTCATCATAAAGTAGCCAAATCCCGTGTGCACCGGATACTAGGATTAAACCGAGCTTTTACCAATACAGCAACTTTTTCCTTTAAAGCACAGAATTTTATTAGGCGAAATTCAATATACTAATCCAGTTTCATTTCCACTGTAGATGTTTAGCCTCGTAACTTTTACAAATTTTATAATAAGAATTATGAATTTTTACTCTGTCCATATTATTAGATCCTTATACCTTGGCAGATGATCCAGTGATTACATCATCTTTCCTTTCTCATTGGTCACTGTGTTGGATTACTCAAAACTTGCTAACACAGTCCCCTCCCCAACTGAGAGCTATAGTAAGGATAACCACATTTTGAATCCTATGAATGTGAAATAGCTCTTTGATTGACCCACAACATGCTTTTGCCCAATGTATTGTTCCCCTTTTTCCTACTGAAAAGCAGGAATTTTTAATATGAAAGAAGTAATAGATGCTACAGGGAAAAAAATTGATGGCAAAGCAGATTATTTATATTAATTAGTATTTATTATGAACTGGAAAAACTGGCATTACTAATTTCTAAGAAACAGTATAGCTTTGGCAAGATCTTCTTTGATAAAGGACCATAGATCCGATTTGATAAACTTTGGAGGTGAGAATAGTCTTTCCACACTAACTTGAGTAGAAGGAAGAGCTGTTCTCTTAGGGCTACTTCTTTCAACTTTTCAGGATAGATTTGTACAAGTTCTAAAAGAGGTGTCTTGTAAGAGTGGTCATATTTCTCTAGTTCTTCAAGGGCTGTGTAGAAATCTTGTTTGTATTTTTTCATTTTTATATCTAAAGTTGTGTAGTTCTTTATTTTCATTCACTTTGCCTTAGCCTTTTCAATAGTATCGAAATATTTCTAAAACAATCATTAATGGAAGAGGATGATACTCGGTTGCAATGTCTGCAGTTTAACGGTTTTGATTTGAATACTCCACTTGTTCTGAGAATAATTTCATTCTTAAATTTCATAGATGGCTTTCTTTGCCTTTTTAATATGTTTGTCATCCAACAAAATTTAGTTTTTGGATCTTACATATATTAAACCCAGCAAGGTCTCATTGTCTCATCTCATCTTCCAAGTGTAACTTCTCTTTCCAAGTGATAACTTCACATCTTCCAAGTGTGAAAAATCACATACTCTGTTCACAACAGTACATGTTACGTTCACAATTAGCAAAAATCTTGCTTAGGTTGATGTAAGATATGTATATGTACTATTTATATGGCAATAACTAGCCACACCGACTGTGGACAAAATGCTCAATATGTTCACAATTAGCAAAAATCTTGCTTAGGTTGAGGCACGACTTTGACCATATATATGGCAATAACTAGTCATACTGGCTGGTAGATAAAATGCTCAATGTTCTACAACACTTGGTAAATTGTTCATAATAACTCAGCTATTGTGAGTAAACATAAATAACGAGTTTAAAAATGTGACCTGCAGATCTGCAGACACATACACATAAAAATGAACTACTAGAAGTTAATTTAATGATTTAACTAAGAATATAATATTTAATAATAAAAAAGATAGAAAATTTTATTTAATAATAAAATTATGAAGTTAATAATTATAAACTAAATCACATTTTGCTTGCTTTTCCAAGAAAACGACAAAATCAGAATTCAAGATGTACGCATATACATTTTCGAAAACAAAAGAGTAAATCACTTAGCGGAAAATAAAAAAATATTTACCACCATATAAAACCAGGTCTAATTTAAATCAGACACCAGAACTTTTATGCATAATTCCTCGAATTTATTCAAACTGTTCCGTGCAATTACATGTCCAAACGGAATTATAAAACACATTTCACACGTATAATTAATGTTTATTGAAAACTCTATTACCTAGATGTGCTACAGTCTTGAAACATACATATGACACCAGCTCATGAATTAATGTTATGCATCAGGTACAAAAACTGTTTCAACTTACTTGTAGTTTTGATTCCAGTAAAACTTGGCTGTGAGGATTGTTTGCTACTCTCAGCAATCGACGTCGTCCTTGGTCTACCGCTCATTTTAATTTAATATAATTCTAAATCGCCATTAATTATATCACTACATAATCTTACGTACAAAACAGAAACATATTTACACAAAAATATCCTTGAAACACAGATATCACTAAGCCTATTTCGAATGCACTAAAATATCCATAAAAATATAATTATAATACGATGTTAAATATTATTTCACAAATTGTATCGATATTAAATAAAAAATACTATTAAAAAATTGATGATTTACACAAGCAGCAGAAATAGCAATAAAACAAAAAATCGCACATATTATGACATATCACGGTTTGTCACTTAACGCTCACTTTAAAATAAATACGTTGCCAACTTTGCATACGAAATAATCAATCTTCATCTATCAAGTCGGCCATTACGTTAGTAGTAACGGCTTTGCTCTTAAAAGAAAATTGAAAAATTGAGAACATGGCCTGATTATTAACTACTTTTCAATTCCTTGAGATAAGTCTATAGTAGTAAGTGAAACATAGTCGTCTGAAAACGCAACAGGCAATTTCAGAAATAGTCAATTTTTGAATAAATGTCGAGACACGGAACGAGACAGGGTTAAGGCTATTAGAGGAGCCTTAGACAGGGTGGGAGGTACTGGTGGATAATACTACCGTAGCAGAAGCAAGAACACTATCAAAAGAAATGCAACACCAGTTTGAGAAAATACATCTTATCCTCAGGACATATAGTCCTCAAATCCAATCAATGTGAAATAAAAATAAAGAGTAAAATGTCTCTCGTTTAAGTTAAACGGCGTTGACTCCTACCTCTACTTTCCTCTTCGAATTCATTTTCAGTTTCATATTCTTATTTACACGGCATATTACTGCTTTTGCTCCAATCGGTGTGTCTGTTCTTGAATTTTCCTAGCCAAATATAGATAGTTGTCTAAAATTTTAGGCCAGTTAATGCTGACTCGGAAGAATTTTTCCTCATAGAAAATTTAAAAAACTATTCTTTTAAAAAGAAAATTTCTGAAAGGTAGTAGGTCACTTCAATTTATGTTCGTTATTATCTTCATAAATATAGTTATGTGTATATTTTTAGTTTTAAATTAACACAGTTTTTCAAAACTTTATCACTTTATTACAAATTTTAAGGAACTGAAGATATTTCTCTTAAATACATTAACAGATTTATGAAGAAGGAAACTTCTTTCTTTGAAAATTTAGGAGAATCCCGCATCTTAAGATTCGAGATATGTTTACATTTTAAAAATGAATTACCGATTCCTGAGATTGGAGATTACGAAGGTCACGATTCCATACTAAGAGCATATAGTGAATTAAAGTTTCAGAAGGCAGTGCTTCCTTTTACTCTGCATCTGGTGAAGACCATAAGTGAAGCAAAATGATTAGCGTGGGCAGAATAAGACGAAAGTATTTAGTCAAGTTGCCACCATCCATCGATGAAGAAGGTAAGTTTCTGGTGTAAGGTCCAGATCAATGAATTGAAGCTGTTTTCCACTCCTGTGGAAAGTGTGTGTGTTGAAAGTGTTGGTCAGCTTGACTTTTAACTTGAGTAATAGCATCATCATCATCTTGTTGATTTGTTCAATACCAGGGTTCTTGTAGTTCTTTAAATTCTCCACATTGCCAATAACTTCCGGTGGTCAGACTGGAACCATGTTGTAAATGAGTGGGTTTGTTGTATAATTGTTATGAAAGTCATAGATAATCTGTTCTTTTGTTATGTCATGTCTGTTGTTTAAGCAAAACTGAGATTACAGATGCGAAGCTAAGAGTTCTACTTTCTCAGTTTCGGTATAATGGATCCTGTCAGGCTGCTTGAAGGGGCGGAATATTATTTCTTATATCTAGAACATGCTGTCCTGATGGAATTCAATGCAGCTTCTTTTACTTGTAATAAAACTGAAATAGCATAAATTAAGTGAAAATTCTAAGACATTAAATAAAATGATATTTTTAAGACTGGAAAGCTGACTTATAATTTTTTTATGAGTACTTAACTTGGACTACACACACACACACAGATCATATTTTATTCTCGACTGTCAAGATGTAGAAACATCTTTTTACTCGACTTCTGATAAGGATCGGGTGGGGGGGAAGAGTAGGGTGAAAGGAGTGTGGGAGGAGGTTGAAAGAGAGTGAGGTCCGCATTAGCGGCGGATAAAAAAGGGGGGATGTCGAGTTCAGTGTCGTTATAAGATGTAGCCGCGGGTGGTAAAACCGCAGAGTTAGTTTAGCGTGAATGAGTCATTTAAGGTTGAGATTCTTATGTTGGAAGGATGTCACATGGGTAACGATGTTTTTCTCTGGGATGAGGGGAGTGTCTGAGAGTGCTAATAAGGCTATTACTGTGGTTTTGTGCTGAATAAAAGAAGTTGACCGCTAATCGTTTAATATACTCTTGAAAAAGTTCGATTTGAAGGTCTCTGTGAATATAGATGTTGGGAATATCCAAGGAGCTTGATATTTCTCGTAGAATTTCATTTGTAGAATTTGCAATTGTAATTGGTTTTTAGCTGCATATCCCCAGATCGATGCTGCATAAAGAGAGCCGAGAGCAGTATGGAGCGATATAGAATTAATTTGTTTGTAGTAGATAAGTTGCTTTTTCTACCAAGAAGAGGTCGCATAGTAGCTGTGGTGATTTTAAATAGTCAAATTAATTTTGAGTGGTCCATTGTTGATGATCGTAGCTAAAGAATGAATCTCAAACGATTGCTTACAAGATTCAATTTTTCTTATTAAGTATCTATATAAATTATGCACATAATATTTTAATTAATGCAGAAATCAGTATTTAATTAATGATGACGAAATTTTGCAGTGACAGTTACCCAATCCCCTCTCGCCACATTAACCGGCAACGTGCGAAACGCGTTTGTTGCCGTAGTTGCTATTTAACTCGTTTCGTGGACTTTTAACTGTTTTTCACCAGGTGCTGATACTTCCTTAAAATTTTTAAAAGTAGGTGATAAATTCGTCATTATATTTTTAAGAATAAGCTAGGTAAATTGCTTATTTTTTGTGTAAAATTACAGAATTTTCTCGACTCTGCTATATTGTTAAAATTTTTCGAATGTATGTATTGCTCCATTACGGTGCTTTCTTTAAATAATTTTTTTCGGAATGTACACTTCTTTAAAAAAATATGAATTTTTGGACTACCAATGTAATTTTACAACCGTATTATATATTGTATTAAAATTCACTTTTTTTTTTTTTAAAGATAACTGTTTCGTATGTTGTCTTCAGAAAAATGATAGTCCTTTATTTTCTCACGGCAGATTGGGAAGTACCGTTGTTCGTTAATAAATTTTTGCATTTTTCTTTTTCTTCAAGATTTGATGTCAAAGTTATAAATCTAGGTTGAAGTAAAGGTCAGAAATTTATAGTATGTACGTCATTTGAAATTTCTGAGTTTGGCAGCTTAATGGACAGTGAATATCAATTAATTTAACACATGAGCTTGTAGTGGAACCAAATTTCCAGTATCCGATTTGTTATAATTTTTTATGTTCTTAGAGGTTATTCCTTTTGGTATATGTATATTGTTATCTTAATTTATAATGAAACGTGGTAAGAAAACAATATGTGCTTGTTAAAATGGTTGTCTACCAGAGCTTTTAAAAAGTATATCATTGAAATAAAGTTGTGCCAAATTGATCTTACAATTAACATGCATTTAATTTGTTTTTCTTGACATAAAATTATAAATATTGCACTGACCGTCAATGCTTTAAAGTTGAAAGATTTGAAATAATGTATTTGTAATGAATCCTGTGTTTATAATTATTGGCATAAAAAGGTACTGAAATAACTCATCCTGATTATAGGCCAGTATATGTATTATTAATTTTATTCTGCGAAAGGTTATTTTTGAAAAACAAATATTTATCATTTTCTAATTAAAAAATATGATTTATAAAGAAAGTTATAAATATTGAGAAAATATTTATGATTGTTGGAAGCCAAATAATTTAATAGTTCGTAACTGTGATCAGGCTTTGTAGGTTTCATATATTGGCCTTTTTAGGATACTTTTGTTTTACATATGTATGCTCTTGCCTTACCTTAAACGTATGATAAATATGTATGCCCTTGCCTTACCTTAAACCTAAAACATATGATAAAGATCATATGATAACAGTACACATTTGTCAAAATAGGTATCTTGTAGTGTATTTTAAAAACATATTATGAAATTGAAAATGTGAAATGTTTATATTAATTAAAAATATTTCAGGAATGTATTTCATTCATATTCTATTTATGGCAAGTGTTTACAGCACTGTAAATATTGCATTGTTCTTCACTGTGCAGTGCTCGAACTCTGTACTATATATATATATACACTTATTTAATGTTTTTTGTAATATAATTTATTTTACTTTGAATAGGTAAATATCAAAATGTTGAGTTTTTGGATATTACTTGCACTAGCAAATATGTATCAAAATGGTAAGTCGGTCACTCTTAAATAATTACCTTGATAATATTAACTGTGTGTGTTTAGTATCATTGATAATATTTGTACTATAACTCTCAGAGATATAAATTACATTTATAAATTTCATTTGTATATTTCATTTTAAGGTTAAAAATAGATTTTTGCAGTTCATTGGTTGATTGCCTTTAAAATGTATTGTGTTGCTAGAAATGAAATTATTGAAGTGATCTAAACAAATAAATAAGAGACTTGGCTATAAGAAATTGGTACTTTTCCGTTTCACCGGCGCAAATCTCGCCAAGCAGACTTTATTGGCGACAACATACAGTAATACACATAAAAATTTTAGTTCTAAGAATTTTTTTTTTTTTAAAGGCATAAACATTTTATATGCTTAAAACTTTTTAAAAGCCAATAAATAAAGACAATAATTTTTAAAAGACATTAATTTAAGAATTTACTATGCTTTCATGGTTCAAATCCTGATTCGCCGGTCATATCACGGACCCCAAGCGTCTCATCTCACGTAAACACTCTACAAAATTCTAATGCTCCAGTAATTATCTACATTAATTTCAAGTTAAATCTTATTTGAAAACACAATTTAAATGCAAGAAATATTTCAATGCGTACGAATAGCTTATTCAGAAATTATGTAAACTGCAGTGCTTTACTTCACTAATGCATTCTCATTAGAATTGATATTTAACCTTGACTTCCTTTTCTATATTTTTCGGCTTCGGGTACGAGCTGTGATAGCATCCTAATTGCCCTAATTACCGAAAATGGCCTTACATAAAACTGAACTATCTGATAAAAAATTCTATGTAATTATATGCCAGTATGAAAGAAACAATCATCTGATAAGAAAAAGCTGCGACTTTGTTTTGAAAATGAGGCGTAAAGGTTACCAGCGAGAATATTCCGTTTGGCATCGGTTGTACCATTATTGGCGACTTTATCGCTTGCGCCGGCAAAACGGAAAAGTACCAAGAAATTTTCTGTTATTAATGGGAGAGGAATCAAATTATAGTTGGAGCCACATTAAAATTTAAGATGAATCTGCATTTATGAAAATATAAGAAAAACTAAGTTTGCTTATAAGAGAGAATGGAACTACACTTCTACACACCCTCGGTTGTCGAAAAATTTCTTGCCAAACATTTTTGGTGAGAAACTCTGTGGTGCCATATTACTATCTAAATTTTTTGACTACATTTCAAACTTTAAGCCTAAAATGTCTACAAAATACGCGGTTTGTTTTACTACACAATTTATGCCAAAAATCCAAAACAAAAAATTTAGTTAACAAAAACGTAAAGTTTCTAATCAAAAATATTTGACAATAATCCATGTACACAGCAATCTATTTCAACTTAAAAAAATCAGAGAATTGCACAATCTATGCAGCGTAGGAATCTAGGAATTACGCACACCTCGCTAAAATAAACTAACGTAACAATAAATTTCGAACAATACAATGTACACGACGTTCTGTTTTAACTTAAAAAACATCAGCAAATTGCACAATCCAGGCATTGTGCACAGCCTCGGCATTGCGCACAAATTAACAAAATAACTAAAAAAATTACAAACAATTCAAAAAACGAGTATAATAACAGAAATTCATAGCAAAAAAATAAAATAAAATGCACTTACAATTGGGAATGCTTCTTTGAAGAGCAGAAATATCAGTTCCAAACATCAGCAAAACTCATCAATTTCTACCACTTTATCCTTCCACTCTATCTTTTGATACACAGAACATACAAAGTACAGCATACATTTGTGAATAAAATCCTTATAAACACACCTATGAACAAACTCGTTAACAACTCAAGCATCGCACCTTTTAATACTGAATCTACCCTGCACACAATCCAAAATAAGCGACTGAAATTTTGCCACCATGTCTTTCATTGCAACATAAGCCATTTCAAAATGCCCACCAAACCAACCAACCACTCCAGCAAATTAAAGTTTCAACATCAAAAGGGTTGCCATACAAACAACGTGCCAAAAATCGGTGCAGAACACATATCGCCACATTTGGCAACGTCGTACATCTGAGGTCGTATATAAGAGTAGTACTGAGAGAACTATATGGGAAGAATAATATTCATAGTATATGAATCAATATTATCCCAAAATATTTAATACGATCAACTTGCGGTGTTACTTTGTTAGACAGTTGCACGGATTTTTGCCTATTTATGTTGGTGCAGTTTTTACAATCGTTGACAATTTGAAAAATGCTGTTTTTACATATTTTACGCATACTAAAGTATTCAAAACTTAAAAAAAATAAATATTGTTAAAAATAATGAATTAATTTTTTGTTGAAAATGTCGTTTTTTAAGATGGTAGGCAAATGTAAATAAATACATTTACTATGAGTATAAAATACTAATATAAGTAAGACACAATAACACGCCGAATAAACACCAATTCAGAAGTCAAACAAAAATCAGCGTTAATTACAAAATTTCACAGGACTAGTTTCGATGGTTTTAACCGAACCATCATCTTCAGCTGCAAAACCGCAAATGAACAAGATAGGAAATAATGTTTAGATAAGATAAGAAAGCCTGGACAAGAATAAGCAAGTGGCGCCATCTGTGGCGAAACCAGAACTAAAACATAATTTCTTCTAAAGGCCGAAAGGCAAATTTGGATTGGAATTAGGATCGTTAACTAGAACAGAAAGATTTTTATGAATGTGAAATGCCTCTAGAAAATCCAGTTCTCCAATGGAAGATGTTTTTTGAATAATTTTGGCAGCAGAAAAATTGAAAGTGTGATTTTCGGACCAACAATGTTGAGCAACAGAAGACTTCTGTGTTTCCTTTTTTCTAACATATGCCTCATGTTCTTTGACGCGAAATTTTAAGGCTCTCTTAGTTTGGCCAATGTAAATTAAACCGCACTGGCAAGGAATCCTATAAATACCCCAGGAATTCATATCCGGAATGGGGTCTTTGAGTATGGAACTCGGAATTTTATTGATGGGAGAATAAACGACCCGAAAGTTAAATTTCTGCAAAATATGTGCAACTTTATAGCTAATTGATGGAAAGAAGGGAATGACAACAGAATTTTTATAATCTCCTAAAATAAGAGTGTGGCTTTTAGTGTGTTGAGATGAGAATTTTTTAACTGCTTGATTAATAATGTTGGGTGAAAAGCCCCTGTCAATAGCTATTGCTTTTAAATAATTTAGTTCTTCATCATGGCATTGCGCACACTCTTCACTATATCCATGTACACTGCTTTTTTCTCATAAATTAGAAAAATTTCACAAAATACATGACAATTTCTCAATCTTTAAAACCCGGTAAAAAGACATATGAAATTACCTGATCGCGAAAAGTATTTTACCCTTTCCAAATATGAACATTTCCACTAAAATAAATAAATATCCAAAAACTTTTACTCTAAATCATATTACATTTACACGTCACCCAACAATCAACCGCAAGCATTACAAATACTTAGTATCAAAGATTTAAATATTTCCATACACTTACTACTGAAACATATACAAATTCCTACAAATAAATTCGCAAATAACGATCATTTAATTAATATCACTAAACCATGTCACGTCGACTTATTTTTACTTAAAAACATCCCAGAAATTGCACAAAAATGGCATTGCGCACACTCTTGACTTATCCATGACATGCTAATTCCTAGCTAGTAACCTTTATCGCCTTACCAAAATGTTGAACTACCTGTTACCATATTCCAAAGATTAGCCGAAACTTTCTTTTTCTTTTGAAGCTTGTTTTTGTTTAAAATTTCTATTTAATTTACATAACCAAGGGAACTTATTCTTCAAATTAAATTGTCTGGAAATACTAGTGAATTGTTAACAGTAATTGTTTGGACTTGCATATTACTACATCCACCTTAGTAGAAGTTGCTAAATTTTCAGAATGAGCCAAGCAGTTGCAGCAGAAGCATTCTTCAGATAAATATGCTCTTATAATCGTTCGTTTGAGCAACTTCATCATTTTCATATGCATTCTTGTTGCATTCCAAGTTCCAATTGTTTTTATGTACAAATGTTTCTATTTTTTACTTTAAACTCGATTTTAAAATATGTGCTCATGGAATTTGCCAACAATGAAAGAAACTGCAGTAAAATATCTGCAGGAATGCAGTATATTTGAGGAAAATCACAAGAGGGAACGATAAGTGTTTAGTACATAGTCAGTGTATGGTACTGAGGTTGTGATATTTTCTGATGCTTTTTAAAGCGAAAAGAGATTGCTATGCATATAGGAATATCAGCAGAGAAAAATTACAAAAGAATTTTGCGAAAAATGGGAGTATTTTAAAGTATAATTTTATTTGGTACTATTCGGTTTCGAGGGCCATAAAAAATCGCCAAACCATTGTTGATGCCAATGCTGCCAAAAATAATTGCGGCAAGAAAGGAAGTATATTAGTAAATAACTATTTAAAATTGATGTTTTAATTTAGATGAAAGGTTAATTTCATATTACTTTTTTATTATTATAATTTATATGAAAAAGGCTAAACATGACTGAATGGAAGCATAAGAGTAAAATAACTATTTCAGATCATTATATAATTTATATAAAAATTGCTAAACATAACTGAATGGATGCCTGCATCGCTATTTTGCTACCGACTTATCGCTAAAGCATAATTTCATCTCGTAATTTTCTAAAATGAATGATTGCTTTTCTTTGAAAATATTCTCGGTAAAGTGCAGAATTGCTCACTTATTTATTTACCGCTTTTTACAAGGGTTTCAAACAATTGGATTTTTGTCAATTTTCTTTTACTTTTTAAGTGAAAATAGGGGTTGATCTTTACAATATGGTAACTGGTAGTTTGGCGACATTTTGGAGGCGATAAAGGTTACTACCTGGCACTTTGGTAATAATGTGAGCAGTACTCAGTTCCGATTACGCATTATTTTGTGTGAGGGAAATGAGAGATCATGGGTATGTCCATGCGATATTAATGGACGAATTAC